GTAATGTTGGTGGCAATAAAACCCTCTTTCCGGTCTGTGCAAAAAACAAGTTTATGTATTACTTTACACATGTACTGGGAAAGCAGTGTCTCCATATTGTTTTAGTCCCATAAAGAAATGTTTCTTTGCCCTGTGAAACACGAGTGTTAAAGCACCAGTATTTATAGTATCTATAGCAAAACCTTGGTACAAACTAGTTGGTATCTATTGAATTGCTGCCACAAATGAAATAAAACATAGAGGCAAAGTAAATTTACATGGTTCTTGCATTTATTGTTCTACATGGGTGAGCTCTAACATGTGAATCTGTGCTTTTGATCAATAGGAACCCATCTTGAAATAAATAAATAAAATGGTAGATCATATCAGATGTGTAGCATATATTACAGTATTCTTTTCAGTTGATGAGTGATTACATTACTATTCAACAGGAAAAAAGTAGTTACACTACATCCTTCAGCGGTGCCTTCCAACACCTCAGATATCCACCATGTGGGTGGCTTTCATTAGTTTTGAGGTAATTGTAGCTCAGCCCCAGTGAATGCACACAGCACTCCAGAAGTTTTTGGTAGCCAGTTGCTAGATACTAACCCATGTAAATAAACATTTTTGGAGGTACTGGAAAGCATAATCCTCCTCTTTTGATAGAATCAAGTAGATGTCAAATTGTTACGAACAAAAGATATCACATTACAGCTCAGTATTTGGGAACACATTACTGACCAAACAATGGGCCTAAAGCCTTTCTCTTCCCATCAGTTTTGTTACAAAGAAAGCAAACCACAACTATCTGCCACTGTACAATGCAGTAGTTATCACTATCTACCAAGCCAGACACATTTTCTCACACACATTTCTGTGCCACTTTCTGCTGGGTATACTTTGAACTTAAGGTTGGTGGAGGCAACAGTTCTTTCTTATGGTAATTTATTTACACTAGCAGTTAAGTAAACACACCATGACAATGTAGTTAGAGATATTTTATTATGCTGTACAGTTTGTTACATTTAAATAGAGCTAAATGTACTGAGTAGCAAACATACTGGGATGGTGCTTCATCAGCTAGATAGTGTTTTCCGCATATATTTTATGAGAGCTCAGCAGTAAGAAAAAAATAACGAGCAGTCAGAGATAACAATAGTATAGAGCGCAACTTGTCTATGTTTTTAGGGGTTGTAGTGAGTGCCCCTGGAAATGTAGCTACTGTAAATAATAATATAAAGTCAATTTGGAAGCCTGTGGACATGATCCTTTCACAAGCTATTTACAACAATACAGATACTGTTCTTGCTTGCACTCTACACCAGATTCCAAGCAAGAGGCCTATAGTACCACAGCTGCTGTCCCTGTTGTATAAACAAATAAAACACTCTTTTTTGATTGTTATGCCCACTTTCCTTGTTATTTCAGTCTAATTAATAAAATAATTGAATGTGAAACTATTTTACTACCAACAGTTTTAGACAAATGGTTGATGGGACACTACAATAATAACTTCTGTGAGGTAAATTGAACCTTTCACGAGCCCTGTGGAAAAAAGTAAGCCAAATAGTATAACTAATTATAAGAAAATATATTATGAAATATAAGAAATTGAAAATGTGAAAATCTATGAATTTACCAATCCCTGCTCAATTGCTCAATCCCTGACAGGTCTGTAGGGTGCCAGTAATTATAGTGTTCTTGGTTTAATTATCACCTCCACCAAGGGCAGGGGTTTGTTAGCATATCTCAAAAATTAATAAATGAATTGTAATAATATTTTTGGAGATGTAGGCTGATATGTATCATAATTTGAGTACAGTATTTTTCTAAAAGATTATTCACCATTGTGAGTGCTGCAAAGGTTGACTATTTGTCAGCCTTAAATTAGTGCAGCAGCAGGAGCTCTGACTGGTTAGTGAGTGTTTGATTTATCAATTCACCATTTAAATGTAAATTTAATGAGCAAAACCTTTCAAATAAATCAATGTATTGACTGATTCATTCTTTAATTCAGCATAAAAAATTTCTTTAGGTATTAAAGTGGAACACTTTAACAGCCTTCATATGTCGGCCCCTGTCATTTTTGGATAGGATGAAGAAAATGCTTCAGCAGCCACACTATTGTTATCCTGTTCTTTATTATTATGTGGATGCTTCAGCAGCCACACTGTTATCCTGTTATTTATTATTATTATTGTATGGATGCTGATTCAGCATCCATACTATGTTTTCCTGGTCTTTATTATTAATATTATTATTATTGTATGGATGCTGATTCAGCATCCACACTATGTTATCCAATTATTTATTATTATTATTGTATGGATACTGAAAAGCATCCATACTATGTTATCCAATTATTGTATGGATGCTGAAAAGCATCCATACTATGTTATCCTATTCTTTATTATTGTGTGCATGCGAAGCTACCACACTGTTGTTATCCTCTTCTTTATTATTGTGTGGATGCCACACTATTATTGTGTTATCCACTTATTTATTATTATTATTATTCTGGGTTCTTCCGTCCGTATTTTGGCATTTAATTGCTTCAGCATACTTTCACCTAGAAGGACCATTGTGGTATCAAAATGTTCTCCTTTTTCGGACATGAGTGCTTGCATACAACTTTTTTGTAACATTTATAATTTTTAATAAATTCAGGTTTTTTCACAAAAATTTCCCATTGGAAAAGAATGGGGAAAGGTTTGAACCTTAATGTCTCCGGCATACCTTGGGCTTTCAACTCTGTTCAACTCGTGAGAACTTCAGCTACCAATGGTGCAAAAATCATCTTGATATCTTTTATGGTTTCTTTATAATCGACATTTATATTTTGTCTATTTCTCCACAGAATATGAATGGGCTAATCCCAGTGGCACCCCCTCGGTCACGTGACTCCCCGCTGTAGCTGGTCTTGTCTGTGTTTTTCCTTTTCCTCCTTGCCACTTTTGTGCTCCTATTATGCCATTCTTAAGTTTTATACACATATAATAGATGAAAATCGTAGAGAAAATTGTCACGAATCCAGCTGTGTCATTATTATAGTGTGGCGCTGCTTCAGGGCACGCGACAATAAAAATAAGGAGACAAAAAAGAAGTAGCGCAGAAGGTATGTTACTTTCAAAATCAAAAAGAAAAGTCGACAGTGAGCACAGACAGTTTCACGGATAGTGGACATTGCGGTATTTTTTTGTTGAGTTAGGTGGAAATGCAGTCTGCCTCATTTGTAAAGAGAAACTCGCCGTTTTTAAGGAATATAATATCAAGCGCCATTATTGGAGTAAACATGGACAACATTATGAGAACTACAATGGAGATGACAGGAGAAAACGAGCCATGCAGCTACAAAGAGGACTAGTATTCCAGCAAGGACTTTTCCACAAAACCGGTAAGGACGCTGAGGCTGCAGTTGAAGCAAGTTTAATCACCAAGGCTGGAAAGC